TCCATGTGCCAAACATATTTGATTCAATGTGGTTTCATCCTAAAAAGGTTGGATTTGAATGATCTTGAATCTGGTTCTTGATTTGCTTTGTTCTTCAACATGAGTTGAGATTTAGGAGTTCTTTGATGACCTAAGTGTTGTTCTTCAATTTATTAGGTAAGAGACTTGTATATACGATGTGAGTACATGAAACCTCAATAAATTTGAGAAAAGAAATCGAATTAGAACGATTTATGGTCAGAAAATTAGTTGAAAAAGTTCGCCAGGCGTCACCTCTGGGCAGGAGGTGCAGCACGCCCCATCTGCGCCAGAGGGCTTGGGGCGGTGCACCTGCAGTGTGCCCAAAATGGAGCCTCAGACCAATTGGGCTAGCGCGGTGTGCTCGAATCAGCATTTTTCACCCAGTTTTTGTACTTCAATCCGTTTAGGCCCTTCTATAGTGTTCTAACACTTCCTAATGATTCTAACTACTTTGAATGACTTCTAAACATATAGAAATCATCCATAAACATGAATTACAACCTTGAATCAATAACTTCAAATTCAAGGATAATTAAGAACCAAGTCTAGAAAATTCTTAGAGTCTTTTCAAGAAGTCTTTTACAAATAATTTAAACCTTGTTTTAAGAATTAAAGATCGAGTAAAGAGAATAGAAAATGAGAAGAATTTCATTTTAAGTTTCATAAGTCTTTAACAAATGTTTTAACTTCGTTTTAAGACTTAAGTTTTAGTTAAGTTAAGAGTAAAGTGAATTTTTTTCTTCAAAGCAGTATATGGGGACTATGCATTCCCAAAGGAGTATAAAATGTTCACATATAAAAAGGATGGAAACTAAGATTTTCAAAGAGTCTTCGGGCTAGTTTTCAGAAAAGAGTAATAGATTTCTAAACGAAGCAAGCAGGGAAACAGAGATTTCAAAAATAGCCTTTGATCTAAGTTTTGAACACTAATATCAAATCACAGAAGAAGCATGTTTTAAAAAAAATAATAGCGATAACATATAAGTTATGAAAAAATTGTGTATGACGTAAAGTAAAATCTCTATAAATTAATATAGTTGGACCCATGAAATTTCATTATTTTATAGAGATATTATTTAATCAATAAATTAATATAAATTAATTTAAAGAATGGTTTGAGATTTAACGAAGGTTAATTTTGAATATATCAAAATCATTGTATCTTACTAATTTATGTATCATTATTGATTTCACATTAAAAAAATATTATACACAAAGTACAACGAATACATCAAAATCATTGTTCTTACTAATTTTAACCTTGTGATATTGGGATGATAAGAGTTTTCAAGATATATTATCGAACAGATTTTATCGTAGGATATTAGAAGACTATGAAGTAGTACAAACTGATCCAGTAAAAATTAATGTTTTGGATGCTGTCAATTTTGCAATTCCTTTTTGGACAAAAAATGTTCGGCAAGAGATAATGACAAATTGTTTTTGATAGTGTAAAATTTGATCGGGGGACGCAACCTCATAGAATATGAATCAACCTGCTTGTGAAAATGTGATTAATGAACTTGAGGGCATTGATTAATGATCTTGGTTACCACAATAAAATGGATGTCAATAACATGTTCGACTATCCACGTGAAAGTGAAACATGTTAAGAGGTCGAAAACATAAAAGAAATTGTGGATACAAAAAAAAAAAGCAATGTTGATGATGAGGTTGAAGATGACACTGTACCTTTGGAATTTCAGTTACGCGTAACGAAACACTTATCGCATCTAGAACTCTTCACAATTTTATGGTACAGTTTGAAATGACAACACTGAGGCTCTTAGATGCAATAGGAAAAGTTAGAGATGAGCTTTAGCTAGAGTTAAATTTTAAGAAAAATAGAACACAATAGAATCATATTTTACTAAATTGTCTTAGATATATTTATAATTTTAAGGAATTATTAATTTTTTATATTAAAGGAACCACATATTTATATAAGAGTTTTCTAGAAATATATTATCTTATCGAAATTGATAATTTTTTACATTGGCCTAAGTAGGAATCAAGAAAAAAATATTATTTTAATGAGATTATTAATTTATCGAGTATTAATTTATAGAAATTTTAGTGTACATTACTAATACGTGCTTAAAGACTAACAGGATCCAAGCATAAAACTTTTCAAATATGATAGTAATTAGGCCTCATTTCTATAAGTTATACATAGCTAAAAATAAACTGGATTATCAAATCAAAAATGGGGAAAGGAAAATTTTGTAGGCAACTCCAAAGGTCCCATGCAAGAAAACAAATCCAGTCCATTCTGTTACAAATGGCGAAGTCCGGATTGGAATTTTACAACAAGAAGAATATGCGTACGTGTGAAATATGCAAAAATACATTCCAGAGTCTAAAAGATGTTTGTTGTAGTGAATTTTCATCTTCATTGTTTCTCTAATGGTACCCTTTTTGCGCTGCATTTGCAATTTCCTTGAGCAGCTGTTTCAGTTACAGTTTTGTTTGATTCTTGGATCATCAACATGAAAAACATTAGGCTTTTCTTTCTCTAGGAATAACGAAAGAGCAAATATATTAGGCACATTATTTTGTCTTGGTAGAGCGTTAATTTTAAGGGGAAATGATATGAAATAACAATTCAAATTAAATATTATAGATCTAGTTTATTTTATTTGTAATTCGCACCAAACATTTTATATTTTTGTTATCTAATTCGGTATATAATTAGCCATTTTTGATATATAATTAGTCGTTTTATATATTTCGGTATAGATATATAAGATATATTTGTGTTTGTGTTTGTATAAAGCGAAAAAAATATATATATATAAATATAAATACATATATTTTTTTTCTTATATACTTCTAATTATTAATTTTATACTGAACAATTAATATAAAATTAAATATATCTACAAATTATACAAATCAAACCTTTTACTTATATCAAGAGATATAATATTTACTAAACCAAAATCTAAACCTACCTACTGTATAATTTTTGGCGAACGGATATCACTTGACTCCCATGGGCCAAGGTGGGTCTGCCATGTTTCCAACCAAACGAAGCTGGTTAAATCTACTTTTTCTACATAAAATATTATAAAAGTAATTAATTTAGGACTTTAATCATATATCTTAGGCTCCTAAGTTTTTAGCACGTTTTATGAGTCAATATTATGATTATTATAGTGAATTAATAATTTCTAACGATTTATGAGTCAATATTATGAATATTTTAATTAATTAATAATTTCTAAAAACTAGCGAAAGACTGTTCTTTTAATATAGAGATAAGAGTAAAAAATACACACTTAAATTATTCTTTTTTTTAATTTCATATCTAAATTATTGAGAGTGAGTTTCATACATAAACTATCATTTTTTTAGTTTAAAAAACACACTTCAGTAGTGAGTGTAATGCACTATCTCTTTTATTTAAAAAAACCTTGACACATGACATTTCACATGAATAAAATATTTAATCTTGACAAAAACTTAATAATAAACCATTAATATTAATTAAAAATTTGAAATTAAAGTATTAATATCCATTAAAAAACAATTTTTTGTAAGATTAAAAGTTAATTTATTTTGTAACTCCACTCCACCACCTCTTCCACGTAACCTCCCCCCCCCCCTCCCGTCCCAAAAAAATTGATATTATTTTATTTCTTAAAAATTAAAAATTCTACCGCATCCTATTTTAACGTATATTCCTAATTTTTATTTTTATTTTTATTTTTACATTTTTCTCATTTTGCGTTAGATATGTACATACATATATTTTTAGAATTTTTTTCTACTAGTGTATGAATATAACCTAAATAAATGAAAAATAAAAAAAGTCTTATGGCGGCAAGTAAAAAAAAATTCAACATGTATATTTAACACAAAATGAGAAAAAAAATTGGAAGAGGAGGTTACGTGAGGTGGGTAGAATAATTTTTTTAAGAAATTAAAATAATATCTGAATTAGTATTTGAGGGGGGGGGGGGGGGATGAGATGAAGTAAAAAAATACTTTTATAAAGAAATTTAAACAAAAAAAATAAAAATAAAAATAAAAATAACATGGCCGGCGGGAAGAGGGCGGTGAGACGAAGTGATGGAACTTGGGTAAGAAAAATATTTACATTTTATTTTATAAAATACATTACTTATTTGATAATAATTTTTTAATTTTTAATTTCAACCAATACTAATAATTTTTTATTTATTGTTTTGGCCATGTGGAGTGCGGATGATAAATTTTTTTTAAATAAAAGAGAGAGTGTATTACACACACCATGATAAGAGTAATATAAAAAAGAGAGGTATATAAAACTCAAAAAAAAAAGTATAGTTTAGGTGTTTTTTGACATTATCTCTTTAATGAAAAAAAAAATAATAAAACGTCGACAGCAGGGTTCGAACCTGCGCGGGCGAAGCCCAACAGATTTCAAGTCTGTCTCCTTAACCACTCGGACATATCGACTTTGCTAATTTAAATCTTGGAACATTGTTAACAAACTTTTTTGAATGTGTCATAATACTCACTATAAAAATGTGGGATCAATTTCCTTGTTTTTAGTCATGGTCAAGATATAAATAATAAATAATCTTTCGACCATCGGTAAACACCTTTGGTAGAAGGATGAAGTACAACCTTCTTTTTATACTTCATGGTGACTTTCACGTTTAAGATTTCAAATTCGAAAATTTCTTAACAACAAAAGTAAGAAATTTGTCTTTCGAGTTAAACTCATCGCATCAAACTTGTCTAATACAAGATTATTTAATTTGCAAGTTATTGTATAGTTGCAGCTGCAGGTTCCCTACATCCCAAGTGGTTGCAAATTGTAGAGTTAGTAGTTAGCAAATCCATGTCTTACCTAAAACGCGCGACTGTTGGACACTTGTGACCCATCTACATATGGCAACAAACTCTTTACTGTAAACAAGTTGCATTTACTGTACAAAATGGGTCAAAATTTGGCTCCACAAATATTGACCGAGTTCACATATAAACTATACATATGCAAATAATTGCAACTTACTTTTATACTTGATATCAAAATGTGCCTACATCAAACTTGTTTTTTCTACTATACACAAAAGGGGGGGGGAAAAAATAGCAAATTCAACTGTTTGCTGTCCCTAAGTTTATGCCAACTATGACTTACTGAACTAAAACTTTTTCTTTCACCTATTATGACTAATTCCCTATGTAGATTTGAGAATATACATGACAACATATTTCTGTTACAAACAATGTTTGTTGCTATATAAACTATATAACCACTCTCCAGGCAAACATCCTTTCTAACAAGCCTAAAGCATCTAAAGGATTGTAATATTTCTTTCTTGATGAGAGAAGCCCAACTCCTCCTCCGCTCCTCGAGCTTGGAATATGTCAATCCTTCAAGTTTTATGTACATTTCAGAGATTCATTCCCTGAAAAAGAATGCAGTCGAATCCAAGTGGTGGACACCAAGATTTTGAACAAGTATCTAACCTTGCAGAAGTAATCGTGCTTGGGACATAGAGAACTCACAGTTGGAAAAAAAGAAAGTGTGAACGACCTTGAGGCACCATGAAGTCGATGGCATTTCTACTCGAGGTTGATCGTAAGAATTCATCAGGAATGCTCTTCAGGTATTCTGAGTTGGCTTGATCTGGAAAAAGCGTGATACTTCTTCATAAAGCTGCTCAGCCTCAAATGGCTTTGAAACATAACCATCCATTCCACATTTTTGACACAGTTCATTTGTAGCTTGAATTACGTCAGCAGTCATGGCCAGAATGGGCACTTTCCAGCTTGAAACATTTCCGTATGCTTCAGGAGGTAGTTGCCCAAGTTTGATACGGCTATTGATATCAGATTCCATTTCGCGGATTATTTTTGTAGCCTGAAACCTGTCATTTAGTTTATAGTGTTATTGTCAGCTTAAAAGCGACTAACTTTACCAAAAACTAGTAGAAAATTTAGTTTGTCTTAAGAAACATACCCATCCATTTCTGGCATCTGAATATCCATGAAACAGGCATCAAATTGATGAGGTGGTTGTAAAAAAGTGAGTGCTTTTTTCCCACTGTCTGTGCAGATAACATCAGCACCATACTTCTTCAGTGCAGCAGCAGCTACTCTAAGGTTCACGTTGTTGTCGTCCACAATCAAAATTTTTCTCCCCTGAAGGAGCTTGGAAAGAGAGATACCAGAGAGCTCTCCATTTGTACAATTTCCCTTGTTACCAACGCCCATGGCACGTTGGAGTGATGCAGCAAGCATACTTGCTCTTAATGGCTTCATGATGATAAATGGAGTAGGAAAACCGTTGACTGAGACACCCGCTCGGCTAGAATTTATAGAATTGGCTAATATGAAAAGTTTGGGAGAACTACTGGCGTTGATCTTTCTTAAGTTTTTGACAAAAAGACTTGACTTTCCCAAATCAGCATCCCAGACTTCCTGTTCAATGAGGATCATATTCGTAACTCCATTTTCAGTTCTTACATGAGACAAACCACGATTCAAATCTGAGACCACTTCAGTATGGACTCCAAGTCGTTTCATGTGATACTGTGAGACCCTTGCACGGACAGTTCTTGGGTCGACAATTAAGGCTCTCAAGCCATGGAAATCTGAAGAAATAGAGTTCGATTGATTGTTTATTTGCTGGCTCTTCTTCTCATTCCAATTATTGCGGCTATTGGTGAAAACAGCAGTAAAAGTAAAGGTGGATCCAATCTTTGGCAAACTTACAAACCCAATTTCACCTTTCATAAGCTGTACCAAACATTTGCTTATGCTAAGTCCAATACCAGTTCCCCCATGGGTGCGAGCAATAGAAGGACCAACCTGCATGAAGGGGGTGAATATACGAGATTGAGCATCTAAAGGAATTCCAACACCAGTGTCTTCTACTGACACCATTAGATTGATCTGGTCCGACGAGGAAGATGTGAAAGAAGATCCTTCTTGATTGAAACCCATGAAACTTCTCCAGCTCTGTCGCTTATCGGCTACAGGCGATCCACTCAAAGTGCTCTTGAACAATGAATTTACCTTGAACTCCTCGGCTGACTCTGTCACTTCCTCGACGAGATGGACCGTCACAAATATATGACCTTTTTCAGTGAACTGCAAAAAAACATTATACTTTAGAGAGTGTGAAAAGAGATCATCCAATCCAAATCCTTAAGTGGGAGGAATACCCCCAACTAACCCCTTATATATGCAATTCTTGATTTTATATATCACCAAAACTCTTTCATGTCCTTATAGATCAACGTGAGTCATTGCATATCTGTGACAACCTCCTTACTCTTACGGCCTTACATACTTGATATCTCCAACACTCCAGACTTGAATGCACATTTACACGTGAGAAAGTAGGTTTACCAAAAGTTGGTGATGATGTCACAAAATCTGACAATTCAAACTAAAACCAATTAAATTAGGTATGCCTACACCTTTAGAGAATCCTTTGGATGCATTTATACCCAACAATAACAATTACACCCCAGTCCCAAGTGAGAATTGGGATCGGCTAGAATGAATCATATCACGTATACATAGACTTATCCTTGATGCTGGACCTTAAATATCGTTATCAAGGTGAGCGATATATATAGACAACTCAACAAAATCTGGCGTAATTGCATTAATTAGTTCCTCTCCCCCCCCCCCCCCCCCCAAAAAAAAGAAAAAAGAAAAAAGAAAAAAAAAACTCTCTCAATTAATCCCTACATAATGAAAGCAACTGATGGATATTAGTGATTCTAGATTACATAGCGCAAACATGCACAAACTTATATATCTACTCCACTTTAAACCCGGCTACAGAGTAGCGTTCTGCTTTCACTTCTAGCTAATTTCAAGCTCTTTGTCGCTGCTATATTTTCTGGGACCAAAGTCTAAGAGATAAGTCAACTTACTTTGATAGAGTTCCCCACCAAGTTTGTGATAATCTGACGAAACCGTCCAGGGTCACCAATGAGTACATCAGGAACCTTATCAGAGATGTAACCGGCCAACTGCTCTCCAGAGAAAAGGTTAATTAGATTACACTATAGGAAACAGAAGACAATAATAAATGAAAAGTCTAAGTTGTGGAGTACCTCAACTCCTTTTTCTTGAGATTTCCCCGAAAAGAGTGACAGAACCTCATCCAGCGTATCTCTCACGTCAAAACAAACTGCGTCGAGCTCAAGCTTACCAGATTCAATCTTTGCTTGGTCCAAAACCTCATTTATGAGCGAAACTAAAGCTTTACCACTGGCCTGAGCAGTGCTGACATAATCTTGTTGCGTCACATCTAGATTGGTGTCCGTAAGCATATGAAGCATGCCTGTGAAACAAGTGTATATATGTTTATTCGTAATCACTCGACATATATTAAGAGTAGTGATGCAGCAAAATGAATATTTTTAGACTCACCAAGAACACCATTCATGGGGGTCCTGATTTCATGGGAAACAGTAGCAAGAAACTACAAGAGAGAGGTCAGTTTAGAACATATCCCATAACAAGTGTTAAATAAAAGTACTAAGCGAACTAAGAAAAGTTGTATATACCTGTGACTTTGCAACATCAGCAGCCTCTGCACGTTTTTTCAGCATCATCATCTGATGATAATCATCCTCAACTTTGGCGATTCTGTTGATGGTTGCATGAAATATTTGCCCTATAAGCAATGCAATTATGAGGATTCCTGTCGCTGTTGTGATGGCTAGCCAAGGCCACGGTGGTTTCTGTTTGAATCTGCAAAAACAAATAGCAACCCCAAAGGATTCAATTCTCTGTAGACTTCTCTAATCTTTAGTGTGGATATCTAGTTAAGAGAATAGAGAAAGCCTAAATGACATGATCATACACAAAAAGGTGCTTCTTGCCGCTTTATTAGTAAGTAAGCTTGCTTTATAATAATCAAGGACACCTCATTCAACTAAATAATAATAGCTGCACAAATGCTTCCATCAAATAAAATATCACAATCAGCAACATGGAAGCTAGGCCACAGGATGAAGTTGAAACAGAAAACATCCAACGATGAAAACACATAATCACCTGCAACGCATCTCATGCCTTCTAAATGGATCCCCAAAGTTGAGGGCACTGACATGCTCCAGACCATCACCCGACACATTTGAACCATACATGCTAATAGGGTGGGAGATATTAGTTGTATCATAGACGTTTACAAGGATAGTTTGTTTGCTTGCAAGTTGCTGAAGAAGCTTCTCTACAAGTGATTCAATGTCAAGTACTCCACCAAGATACCTGCTTGGAAAGGGAAGAAATGTCAAAATAGTTGGTGAAATTTGAAAACATACTTAGGTCTTGAGAAGTCATCAGTTTATGATCCCCTTCATGAACTCCTATTTTATAAGTATTCCAGAATATTAACTTACTCATAGAATGTGAATTCTTAAAGGTTGAACAAGTTTATTATCTTTTGTCTTTCTCTTGCAGTTCTGAGATTCTTTTCCCAATATGAAGGGGCAACATATTCATAAAGTTTGATTACACAGTGAGTGATTGCATAAAAACAGATGACATACCCGTCAGTTGCCTGGATCCTTTCATTTGGAGTTGCATTAGAAGGAAGATCAGTTTTGTAAACTGCAAATGTCTTTATCACCCCAAGGCGATTTGTTTTAAGTAGTCTGAATGGAGCTGTGAGGACACCCTTTCCTGATTCCCTTGCACGTAAAACATTCTCGCGATCTTCCTGTTAGGCACAATCAATTGTAAGGGTCTTGCTCTATACTTCCCTTTGTATGTATGTCGGTGTGTGTGAGTAGCAGAAAGTAAAATGACAAGAAATCTAGCTATTTTTAATACTGTACATTCAATAAACACTTGGGAACCTAAATAAAGAAATTACCTTTCCAGAGAGCATATCAACAGAAATTACATGTGCAATCGTATCCTGTGCAAAAATAACAGGGGCATATTCTGCCTGAATTGGAGATGGCTCCAGGCCATCTCTATCATACTCATTGTCTTTGTGAACTGGAGTTGGTTCACGTGTATCCATTCTCTTAATACTCCAACCGTGTCGCTTCTCAAACTCTTTTCTTTCTGAATGGAGCACTCTTACTGCATATGCCACCCCACTTGTAAGAGGCCTCTCAAATGCTGTTCTTTCTGTATAGCTTGCAAAAGTACACTGCACGGACAGAGTTTTACGGTATTTTAGTGAATTAAATAGAAAAATAACTAATTAAGTAGGTTGTTTAGGCTCAACTTAAACTAAGAATACCTAGAAGACTTCATTATAATAACAAAAATTTAGACAGTTGAGTATGGAGTTCAAAATAAAAGGTACAAAAAAAGGTTCATCACAAAGCACAAGAATTTATGGTTTGAGAGTTCATTATTCAAGGGCATATTGATAAATATGTGAAAAAACATTGAAAAGATGAGTAATTTTTGACCTGATCAATAGCAGAAGGATTCCTGGCATGGTGGAAAGTTGAGATGAGAATGGACATGGCCTGCACATGGTTCATACTAACATTAAACTGATCTTGTAACATCCTAGCTCTTTCATCACACATACTTGTGAGTGTTTCTTTTCTCTTTTCAACAGCTTTAGAGTTCATATACCACAAGACTGAAAAAGAAACAACAATCCAAAATAATAACCATACTATCAAAAGCTTCCTCCACCACTTGTTTCCCACTTTCCTATTTCCAACATACTGAGGGTAACAATGATAAATCTTAGCACTCAAATCCCACAATTTCTTCACTATGTGCTCTCCATCACCAAGCAAAGTCTTGCTGCTAGTCATAACTTCACCATTCATGGAAAAAATCAGAGACAGAAACCAGCAACATAGAGTCAAAATTAGGCTACCCAATTTCAAACCAAACCCAATAACATAAAACAAACTCATCCAAAACACATCAAACACCTAACCCCTTTTCAAGAATCAGCAGTCTACTGAACCTAACATCAGTAAAGTTTCAAACTTTAGTTAAGAAGATGTGATGAGAGGAATAAAGAAGGTGAAAAGTTAGAATTTGATGCTATCTTCCTTCAAATTAGGGGAATGCCAGAATTCATGAACAAGATAAGAAACAGCAAAAAGCCAAAGAAAGAATCAAGGGATCCCATCCCAAAGATTCCAAATTTGATTATTACCAAGTTAAGCTCAAAAAACAATGGGCCAAAATCAAGATTCTCCAAAGTAATTACACCAGGATAAAGCAAAAAACAACCCCAGACAAAGAATCTTGGATGTTTCGTTAATATGAAAATTACAAGCTAATTGTTATTCAAGTAACACAACTTTTGTCAATAATTAAGAAATTTTCTTTTATGAATAACTAAAAAGAAGAGTTTTGGTTCATATAAACTCATAAAGAATCTGTAAAAGCAAAGATGAAAAGAATATGGTGGTGGTAGAAAATGTCTGCTGCCATGGTCTGTTATCTCTCTATCCAATTTATGTCTACATCCAAATAATAAAAGAAATTATTAAATGAACATATTCTCATCTTATAATAAAAAATAAAAATATATAAATAAAGGGCAGAAAAGTATTACTTCCACTCAGCATGAAAATGACTTTATATTTTTTTAACTTCCTTTTTATTTTTCTTTCTTTTTCATACTTCCACTTAGCATTGTGTTCACATCGCCTTATCTATCCACACAAGACAAGTCCTATGGTTACACGCCAAGTTGTTCAACTCTATTCTTTGTACGTTTATACAATGTTAATGGACAATATTATCCTTGCATGTTGAGCAATATAGCATCTAATACCAACAGGGTAAGACAACAACAAATATTCTTTCACTAAAAAATTGTTTTCTTATATGGTCATGGATATTATAGCACTAACACGTGAGAAATGTAACCCCAATATAAATGCTAGCTTTCATCTTGTTGTCGTATCAAATGGATAGTTGTTGTTAGAACCAAAAAAAAACTAAGTCAGGAAAGAAGAAGAACAGAGAATGTGGCCCATAGACGCAATGAATATTGGGAGAATAATAGTGTTACACACTGCAAATTCTACTCCTACACCGGATGATTTCCTAATTGTCCTTAGGGTTAAGGTCAATTTCTAAATGTAGTAAGTGTACTAGATGAGAATTAGGATCATAAAGAACCTCTAGTACTAAGTCGAATTTAACACTTCCCTACGAATTAAGTTATCATGTAAGTTCAAACAAGGTCAACTCCGAATAGTCACATCTTCTATAATAAGAAGGGTTACGTGGCCCATATTCTATAAATTAAAAGTATATGAGTCTACCTTGCAACACAACAAACCATTTGTCGATCCGATATGGGAGAAAGAACATACGCCCATTTTTACTAAGAAATACTCTGAGGTTTGCGTCACACCTTCCACCAAACCAAACTTTAGACGCTAAAAATCACCCCAGGTCTGCAATGGGGCTCGTAAGGTGAATCCTAGTGTCTGCAATGAGCCCCACAATGCACCTCTTTATTCCAAGGTGAAAATGCATCTGAGTTGGTCTAATTAATGGTATTTTGATCATTTTCTTTTAGGAAGCATCACTCAACTCTTAAGTCCCATACAAGTGTAAGATCAAGGTAGTGTAACACCTCAGAAATTGAAAGTTGAGTTGGAAAGGAAATAGTTATAGAAAAAGTGTCAAAGAATATATGTGGTTCGTAGAGATCTCTACAGGTCATAGGAGGCTCTCATGAAACTGAGTTAGAGTTTCCAAAATACAAGTCTTTGATGATAATCTACAAATAAAGAGGACGAACCGTAGGAACCTCTATGGGTCGTAGGAATGGTTCCAAACTTGGTGAAATAATGGACAATGGACCTACGGCTCGTATGAGTTGTTAAGACAGTAAAATGGGTGCCGCTAAAAGTGGTTGGACTTGAAGGATTTTTTTAAAATCAGTTTCTACAGATTGTAGAAAAGTTGACAACTCGTAGAAGCTAACCGTAGGAATTTTTCAAACTTTTGAATAGTTGACCTTACAAATGCTAAGACGGACCGTAAAAATTCCTATGATCCATAGGTTCATACCGTAGGAGTAATCCGACCGTTAAGGGCATTTTAGTGTTTTCTACCCATCAAACCTCTAAACTATGTAATTTTGGTCCCCTGTTAGGGCTGTTCAAAATCGAATCGAAACTGATAAGCCGAATCGATAAAAAAGTTATTGATTTATAGTATTGGGTTATTGGTTTAGTGATTTTGATAACGATTTTAATTTTTTTTGTTATCGAGTTATCAGTTCTTAACGGTTTAAAAAATTTTCTTAACGGGTTAACTGATAACCCAATAGTAAATTAAATAATTATATTTATACCATTTTGTATATAAAGTCCTCGACTTAGAGTTTAATTTCCTACTTTTAGTTTTGGTTGTCTCAAACACTTGATTATTCTATGATGTAAAAATGTTTGTTTTTGAGCAAGATGTAACTTGTGAACTCAAGTGGATGATTTATTTGGTTTGTAACCTTGTTTCTAAGTGATTTTCAATTTTTTTTTCTTTTGTGTCAAATATTAACGGTTAAATCGATAACCGAATCGATAACGATCAAAAATCGATAAACCAATAACCGATAAGCCAATACCTTAATAATTGTATAACAGTTTAGCATCTCTACAAACCGATAACTAATAAGCCAACCCGATAAACTTCAAAATCAAACCGAATTGAACCGGACGATACACAACCCTACCCCCTGTAACTTAATTTACTCTTCAAACTTAGCCTATTCCCTCTCATTCATTCAAATTGCCGCAAGTCTTCTTCTCTAATTTTCTCTCAAGGACTCTCAAGGCAATGCTAGGGTTTCAAGGTTTCTTCCTCCATTTTCTAGGGTTTTGATTATCCAATGTATGTGAAAGTTCACCAATGGATCCCTTTCATCTATTGGGTTCCAAAAGAATGTCAATCTCTAATTCAATTTCACCCGATTCTTTTAGGGTTTCATGTGATTCTCCAAGAGTTCAATTTATTTTGATTCAATTATTCATATTCAATCTTACTATGTGTAATTTAACTCGATTGTTTTATTTTCAATTGATTTTATATGATAAAATTACGACTATGTCTATTTTATGAATATGAACTATGATTATGAAATTATGAATTATGATAAAAAAAAAAATATATGCATGTTTTATGAAAGTAATAATTTGTGACTAAAAGGATGCTTATAAGAAAATGTGTCAATAATTGTGAAAGGTTTTCTAAAGTATGAATGAAATCATGATTTGAATTCTTAGATTGGTAAGTGTCTTAATGAATGAATTTATGAAATCATAGTTTTGAAAGGAGCTATTATTATATACAAACTTATGACTGGATTGGTAGTGTCTTATTTTTGCCTTTCTAAGTATTATTGATATGATTAATACTATTTTCATTAGAATTTTACTTAGCACTGAGAGAACTTTGATATGGAGGCTCTCCCATTAGTAGAGATCGGGTCTTTAGAAGTAATTTCTTTGTCTCAAATTACGTGCCCTTGTAGGATATCTTAAATGACCTAAGCTTGTTAATCCACTTTAAAAATAATGAATGGCACGGAGTTTTACCTGTGCAAGCAGATTCTGTCTTTTCAGTGTGAGGGTTAGACCAAATACCATGTCATATCTCCCTTGGTATTATTTTTGGTCGATGGTAAAATATTGCACAAATGAATTACATTTATTAAAAAGGTTTTATGAAAGCTTTCTTTATGATTTTAAGATTCACTGATCAGGTATTCACTTTATGAATTGGCTTTTAAAACTTCACTATGTCTTTACTTGGTATTGCATATTCTCGTTGCAAATTCATTATAATATTTTATATATGTTTATGCATATTTCTCCCTAGTTAGTACATTCATCATACTAATACATATTGGTTCCTATGTTATTTCATAATGTAGGATCAGAGGGCTCCTCAACCTTGACACACTTAGGTGTATTGATCAACTGCTGCTACTATTGATTGGTAAGTTGGCATAGTTCGAGGGCAAGGTCATTATTAGCTTTACAATTTCTAGTCTATTCAGTTTTAAGATGTTGATGATGACTTAGGGGTTTTTCTTAGTCTTATTATTATTACCATAGGTATTATTAGACATAAATATTGTTCTATGTATTCTTATATGCTATGTTAGTATCTTTTATGTCATTACTAGATTTGTGACTTATATGGATTATATCTTTTGAATTATATTTACTATATCGTGCTAATGTCGAGTGACTTATTTTGCACCTCTTGGGATATTATTCTCCATGTCACACCTAGGGGGTACTTTGGGTTAAGACATGTGTCCCTTATTATTTTCTTCCAACAACTTCAACACATAAAAGTCTCTTAAAGAGCTAAACCTAGGGTTTTATTCAAGAAAGTCCATCTAGAGTTCTCATTCTATTTTATTGTCTACTCCCTCGGGTATGTAATATTATCATAGTAAGGAATCTAGTTTTCTCTCACGCCCTGCACCTACAGTTTGAGTTAATAAGATTTTACTCCAGAGTTTATGATTTTGAGTTCTCTCTAATTTAAATTGTTTATTGTTGATCCTATTATATTTCATATTCATTGATGATTCTTGGTTGATAGTTCATGATTATTCAATCACATGGTTCTTTTTAGATAAGGTTACTTGAAAACCTTGTTATAGTATTCACATGCATTGTATTCATGAATAAAGTAAGTTTCAAGATTTTTAAAGAAGTATTTCAAGAAAGTAACACCTTTGTAATGCCTTTAAGTCAAATGTCGACCTCACTTGGAACTTCAATAATAAATTATTTTTACACTTGTATTCTTTTACATTTTATTTTGAAGACAACGAATTCTCAAAAAAGAAAGACCGCCAACCCTCTTCTTACAATGGCAAAGGAAAAAGTAAAGGTAAGGGAAATGATAAATCTCCTCGCAATAAAGCCAATAAAATGGAGTATACCCAATTTAGATTTGTGGGATGAAAGATAATATACTCTCTACAAAAGTAAATGCACATTCACTCTGGAAAAGAGATTCAAATAACTAGGTTGGAGGAGGAATTCCCTAATATTATAAAACAAATTCACCACCAAAAAGTGGATGCTCATTTGCAAGCATCCAGAGGTCTTCTTTCCAAAGTTGATCATGGAATTTTATGTCAAGTAAGACAGGAGTTGATGGGCCTTTTTGGACTAGTAAAAATGTTTTCAAATCTTACTTCACTTCTTGTGAGGGTGTGAAGATCGAAATCACACCAAAGGCAATCAACTCTCTCTTCTAGGATAAAAAAGATAAGAAAAGAGTCAGTCTACATTTGCTGTGAAAATTTCCACCAAGAGCAGCCAACTTCTATAGGTTGACAACTTTATTATTGTGGGCCAGTCAATTTGGGTTATTGATTTGTGGGAGGTGAAATATCTCGCCAAGACATGAAGATCAAAGCCAAATTTATTTGTGTGCGTCTCATTCCCTCCAAAAATGAAAAAGGAGTCTATAGTGAAGCTG